CAATACTATTCTTCCTCTAAAAAAAGATAATCCATGTTAGTGTATATACTAGACATAAGGAATCAGTTTGAATGAGAGGGTGTAGCTGCTAAAACCACGCTTGAACATACATTATTACATCACATTTAGCACCGATTAAAATTCCTTGTGACAGATGTGTTCATGTGATTAGCTGTCATAAAAGATACAAATGTTTTGAGAGATATTTATCTTCCAAGCAAAGGTTTGGAGCTTCGTGGTACTTGGTTATGTGTAGACAAGGCGTTTCCCCTTGTCTCTTCTCCCACTCTTCGCGTAGTTCACTACTGTCACCTTGCGTCCTACCATATCATCATCTCGTCACGTAGCTCATTTTCTCGTTGAAGTTAAGCTTGTTCTCTTCATTGTCACCATCTCTTCTGCTCTCGCTCCTCTCGTCATCGCCAACTCCTCCGGATCTACTAAACCTGAGGATGAGCTCGATCTGCTCTTTTCATTGTCTCTGCTACACCTCCGCTACACCACACCATCTCAGTCCATGATTACCTTCGGCAGAGCCAGCTCTGCTCTCACAATGTTTTGGATTTGCTCCGCTCTCTCACTAACCATCTCACCTCCACTACACCGTACCCTCCACGCTCTTCCTCCTACTGGTAACAGTTGTGAATGAACCGACTCTTCCCTTCCTTTGGAGTCACTGTTCCATGCAGCCTCGCCAGCAACATCATATCAGTAACAATACTCTTTCACCGGCTCTATCTTTGTGCCTGCCTCCCTCTTACACTACCGCTCCTCAGCCTCTCAACTGCCGCAGTTCCTTCAACGGTGTTACATTTCATCTAAGACACGGCCTCAGCTCTTTCAGAGTATATTTCAGCTGTGATGGTGAACATCACTGGACTCCCTTCGACAGTAATTTTGTCTCTTAGGCGCGTAATCTCCACTCTCAGTAAAACCCTAATATGTGATCTATCTGGGCTTAGCTTCTGATTTGAGATATAATCCAAATCTTAGAGTGTATAACACGTTTTCGGTTCAGGGTCTCCTACCCTTTGTTTTGTCATATATTATTCATTGGAGTGTTATCTCCAAGTCTAAACAATCAAGGTTTCTTTGTTATTGTCATGGCTATGGTTCTGTAGCTTCCTAACTCTTGCTGGCCAACTTTCGATTTTCATCAGAAATAATTTCCTATTGTTATCAGGCCCGTCTCATATTTTATAAGGGTCCAGTACAAAATTAATATATTTCAATAACAACCAAAAGAATTTTAGAAAAAAAGGGTTCTAAATTTTTTTTTTGAAAGAACCCTAGTTACTAACTAAATTTTTTTGTGAAATTTTGTAGACCCTGTGCAATTGCACTATGGGCACATGTTCAAAGACGACCCTGATCGTTATCAAACTCTTGGGAATGGGTATTTCAATGTCGGTTTTATATCCGACTTTAATGTGATCTTTCGGGCATGGATTTTAAAATTCTAAGTGAAACTGCCATATGAGTTTCTTTTTCTTTTGCCACATCTATGTTCGTCGTGTTGTAGTTTTACCGATTATATTTTACTGTTGAATATATTTCCTGTTGTAACCCGCAACAAGGGGTCCTTAAGGAGAATCCTTAAGGAAATATTAATTTTATAATCAATGGGTCCCATGAACAGTTAAAGATTTTAAGAATAAAATCCTTATGTAAGGATTGATCCGGATGGATCCTTACACTATTCATGGGCTCCACTACCCACATGTCGGTCCACGATTGGTCAGATTTTTTTATTTTAAAGAAATAATCCGAAATATCCTTATATAATCTGAAATACCCCTTTTTCTTTTTTTCTAAGGATTTCCCTTAAGGATCCCTTGTTGCGGATGTTCTAATCGTCTAAGCTTGTTGAGCTTTTAATTTAATAGAAAAGTTGGTGCAAAAAAGCTTCTTTCTTTTTCTACCATCGAACTTATATTAGTGTATTATTGTAAAGGAAATATAAACAAAATAAGTATTGGGCATGTGAGTGTCCCACGTAAAATCAGGACCGTTCAAATCATCTTCAAACTTCTATTTATTCTCAATCCCATCTTCTCTACAGCATCCAAGCTTGAAGTTTCTTTCTGCTTCTTCCTTCTTTAGATCGTCCTTTGTTATAATTCTCTCCTATCACTTTAAACAACACCAAAAATCCATTTCGTTTTTATTCTCTTATAAAAGCACATATAATCCAATATCATCAAAAATGTCTTGCCTAGAGATATATAACAAAGATGTAAGTAATTATCTTCATTTGTTTACTCAGAGTTTGAATTATTGGGCCTTAACTTTTCTTCTTTAGAAATTCTTGTTTATATGATTAAGGTTCGTGTTTCTTGAATTACGTATGTGACTTAAAATGAATTTATAAAAAAGTGTATTTTATAGTAAACATTTTCATTGATGGCTCAAGAAGAGCCTGATCAAAGGGCATGCTTAATGCAATGGAATGTCACGATCTTTATGTGCAAAATACATTTAGCTCAACATCTTTTCTTTTATTTTTTCCCTTAGAATCTTGTTTGAATCGACAAGCTTTTTATTACGGTCGATAATATTGCCATTTTAAATATAGCTAATCGTCGTTTGTAACAGTTCTCTCTTTTTTGTGGTGCTTGAGAATAAATCCAAAGAATCTAGAAAATTGTGTCTAAAACGAGAATACGTGGCAATGCAAAAAGTGTGATTCTATAATAATCACGTCAAAATACAGATTCAAATTTAAACTAAAACAAGAAAAAGGTGGAAATAAAAAAAACTATCGTACTTATGAATCTTCTCCATATCAACTGGGCAAAAGGTGGTAAATAACACATACTACAAAAGGGTTATTTTTAAAACTTACTACAAGAATGTTAAAACATATATATGCATCTTTCTTTCGTTTTATTTTGTCAACATATATGCATCTTTCTTTCGTTTTATTTTGTCTATCTATGTTTATAGAACTGATATAAATTAAAATGCAGATGAAGAAGAAAGAAGGAGAAGTGGAAGAAGAAACAAGAGATGGAACTGTGGACTATTATGGTCGTCCTTCTATTCGTTCCAACTCGGGCAGATGGGTTGCTGGCATCATCATTCTCGGTATGTCTCTTTTCTCTAATCGATATTTGATCAGAAAAGTAAAGAACTATGTAATAAAAATATTCTTAATATTTACAGGTTCAGTAAACCTTTTTTTTGTTCTTCACGGCCTATATGTAACGTATATTATTATGATATGATATATTTCTAAACGGCTGCAGATTGATTGACATGCGTACTTATCTTTGAGGTAATAAGTTATCAGAAATTAGGAAAGTGAAACCACAAAAAAAGAACTCATTAAAAATTAACTTCGAGTTTTACGTAACGTGTCAAGACATATCCATGTGTTCGAACGTAGCCTGCATGTCGCGGTTAAAACACCAACCACATGAAAATATGCATATATATATATATATATATATATATATATTTATTACTTATATGGTTAAATGATGTAACCATTTATCTTCAAATTAAACCTATGGTTACTTTAATACTTTTCGGTAATTTTCTGAAAGAAAAACATAAACGCAGAAAATATGATGTAATAGTATGAATGATTATTTAAAAAAAAAAAGGATATGAATGATTGATTGAGTGTTTGAGTGATACGGATGTAGTTTGTCATTTTAGAATAACTAAAAGAGCTGTAAGTGATTCTAAAATTTAACCAAACAAAAAATAAAAGTTATTTTGAGGAAGACGACACAGTTGTAATAATATAGATATAAGTACAAAGAAAGGATGTGCTAGTGGAACTATGTTGCCCTACACGTAATTACCCATCTCGTCTTTCCAAGACGTTAGCTTCTGCCACGTGCACTTCTTCACATTTTTATTTGCAGAAAGTTCCTCTTTTCCTCTTTAACATTTTTCAATTTTGATTATATAATAATATTAATTTTATTAGAATATTTCTCAACAACCCAACATTTTCTCTATATAAAGAAAAATCATAACATATTTTAATAGTATGTAGAAATAATAATAGTAATAAAAAAAAAAATTAGTTGGTCTTCTTTTTTTCTTGTTTGATAAGTTAGTAGAGTCTACCTATTCTAACAAAACTTGGTTGCCGATTTGTTATTCGCATGTGAAATTTCACTATCAAATAAAATTTTAATTTCGTTAGAAGGTGGAACTACTATAGAGTAGTCATTAGATACTCTCCAACCAAGTAACTGTTAACATCATCTTGACGAACACGGAACATAGTTTCAATTATTCACAATCATTACCATTCATTCATCAGTTCCGGTTCCTTTCAGATCAATAGCTTGTGTTAACATTATACCAATAAAAAATAATTTTGGGTAGCATGCAAACCAGTTTCTAATCGACTTTTGTTAAATGGACCGGTTAACAGTGAACCAGGGGTTGGCGACGCTAGCGTTCTTTGGAGTTGGAGTGAATCTAGTGCTGTTCCTAACTCGCGTTTTGCAGCAAAACAACGCAGATGCAGCGAACAACGTTAGCAAATGGACAGGAACTGTTTACATCTTCTCGTTGGTCGGAGCATTTCTCAGCGATTCTTACTGGGGTCGTTACAAGACTTGTGCAATCTTCCAAGTCATTTTTGTCATCGTAAGTAACATCAATTATGGTGTTGTGTTTAAAACTAACGTTTGACAAATTTTAAGCTGATTATAACACTTTCTTGGAATGTGAAAACGCAGGGACTTTCATCGCTCTCGCTATCATCCTACATGTTCTTGATCAGACCAAGAGGTTGCGGGGATGAAGTCACACCTTGCGGTACACATTCCACGATGGAGATCACATTGTTCTACCTTTCAATCTACTTGATCGCATTGGGGAATGGCGGTTACCAACCAAACNGATGTATGATGAAGATAGACAAGGGAAGAATGCTTCAGGAGATACAGGGAGGAGGATAGTTCACACAGATGAGTTCAAGTATGTTTCCGAAAAACTGCTGCGGTTTTGACATATATATATACTTCAATGCCATGCAAGTGTTCCAACATGTTTCTGTTTTGACTTGTAGGTTCTTGGACAGAGCAGCGTACATCACAGCAAGAGATCTTGATGACAAGAAACAAGGCGGAGTGAATCCATGGAGGCTTTGTCCTGTGACACAAGTTGAGGAAGTCAAGTGTATTCTTAGACTAATGCCCATTTGGCTCTGTACTATCATCTACTCGGTCGTCTTTACACAAATGGCCTCTCTATTTGTGGAGCAAGGCGCAGCGATGAAGACCACTGTCTCGGATTTCAAAATCCCTCCAGCAAGTATGTCCAGCTTCGACATCCTTAGCGTTGCTTTGTTCATATTCATCTACCGCAGAGTTCTCGAGCCACTAGCCAACAGATTCAAGAAGAAGGATGGAACAAAGGGAATCACCGAGCTCCACAGGATGGGAATCGGCCTTGTGATTGCTATCTTAGCTATGGTTGCAGCCGGGGTTGTGGAATGCTTTAGACTTAAATATGCAGACAAGAGTTGCACTCACTGCGATGGCTCAAGCTCACTAAGCATCTTCTGGCAGGTACAGAAATACAGCCCAATTATGCCCTAAAATCAATAATATCCTACAGAGGAAACTCTTGAGACCTGACAATATATCTCTTCATTACAGGTTCCACAATACTCACTCATCGGAGCATCAGAAGTGTTCATGTACGTTGGTCAGCTTGAGTTCTTCAACGCGCAGACACCAGACGGACTAAAGAGCTTTGGAAGCGCTCTGTGTATGATGTCAATGTCGATGGGGAACTTTGTGAGTAGCTTATTGGTGACAATGGTGGTGAAGATCTCTACAGAAGACCACATGCCTGGTTGGATTCCAAGGAACCTCAACAAAGGTCACTTGGACAGATTCTATTTCCTCCTGGCTGCATTGACTAGCATAGACCTGGTGGTGTACATTGCATGTGCAAGGTGGTACAAATGTATAAAACTGGAAGCGAAAGATGAGATGCAAGACATGATGAGTGATGATGAAAATGATACCGACAGTGATGACTACGAGGAGCCAATGAAGGATACTAGAGTCTAACTAAATGTGTGTTTGGTTTTCGTTTGTTTTTTCGGTTTTCTGGTGATGTAACCAAACAAACTGATTGATAAATAAAAAGGCTAAATCGGATTTTGGTCTTTTTCATCGAAAAGACTGTTTTGTTTTACGGTCATGTTGTTCAATAACTTAAAACAAATATATATGGTTTCACTGTGAGTGACTCAAACAAATATGGATCAGCAAATCGTGTAAGGAAAAAAAGAAAGCTGAGCAAAATCCAAGATGTAGAAGCTCAAGTAGTAAGAACATCAACCTATCTTTATCTTACGGACTTGTATGAGATGTGTTGATTCTTCACGCCAAATGGGTTGCGCGCCGCTTTGGACAAGCGTTACATGTTGTCCTTCCTTCAGCATATTCTCGTCCTGATGATATATAAAAAAACAAATCAGTGTTTCAGTGTTAGCAAAACTGCATCTGCAAGGTTGATAGACGAGAAAGGAGAACATGGTTAATGCACCTGTAAGAGTTTCAAAGACCGGGTATATGTATCTTCTGCATCATCAGAGAACTCCATATATATAGGCATGACACCTTGATATAGAGCCAGCCTTTGCATTATTCTTTTCCTAAAGGTAAAGAAACAAACATATCAGTCAAAACCCAAAATACGTTTGATTAAAAGTTGCTTACACGTGACATTTTTTGAATGACAGGTAAACAAACACATACTGGTTAGTGAAGGCAAAAATTGTTGAGGACGGGCGGTAATGGCTTAGAAGCACTGCCATGGATCCAGTTCTCGTGAACACAATTATCGGTGTGTTCAGTGTATTCGCCATTATAGAAGCATGAAAAGCAAACATTTGGCCCATGCGACCCTGTAGCAGAAATGTCACTCAACATATGAGTAAAGAACCATATGTGACATTTCTGATCTGAGGAATGTGTGAAGTACCTTGTAAGCAGTGGTGCGGATTGCTGAGGTTCTGACAGGTAGACTAGCCTCAGTTCTCAAAGCCACGGTATGCATCACGTTAACTGCTTTCAGCGGAAACCTGCCATCATAGGATTAAAATACATAAGAATATCTCAAAATCAGTTCTGTTGATGGGGTTAGTTTAGATTTACGAACTTTCCATGTGCGGTTTCACCAGAAAGCATGATTGCATCAGCCCCTTCACGTACTGCAATTGCAATGTCAGATACTTCAGCTCTTGTAGGTGTTGGGTGATTAATCATACTCTCTAGCATGTTTGTGGCGACAATCACTGGTTTATGAATGCTCCTACACCTTCTGATTATCTCTTCCTAAAACATGGCATGATGGCAAAAGCATAAGTTCCGACAGACTCTAGGGTTATGTTTCATAAACCATGTCTTGGATTTACCTGTAACAAGGGGACCTCCTCGATGGGAAGTTCAGCTCCAAGATCTCCGCGAGCAACCATTGCCTGACAAAGCATTGATAATCATATAAGCCAAGGAAAATAATCTCTGTATATTCTAATCATAGAGAGGACTCTGCAACTAACCCCATCACAAGCAGATATAATGGAAGGAAGATTCTTGATAGAATCTGCGCTTTCAATTTTCACGATGACAGAGATATCCGCACTGCAGGCTATCAAAACATTAGAAAGTTTCATTAGTTTCACATAAATTTCACCAATGCTATTATAGGTCAAAGAAACAGGGATATGCCTAGTTACTTTTAAGATAGTTTTTCAACTCGTGGACAACTTTAGCATCCTTAACAAAAGAGACAGCATAGAAATCAACTTGGTTGTCCACTCCAAATTTAATGTCCTCCCAATCTTTATCTGCAACAAGAGCATTAACATTCAAAACCATCGAATTAGGAACCCTCCTTGATGCAAGATTGGAAAACAAAAAAAACTAATAGCTTGTATCATCAACCTGTTATAGAAGGAAGAGTGGCACTCTTTCCTCGAACATTCAAGTGACGTCTAGATTGAAGCTCCCCACCATCAATAACTACACAATTCACCAAATCGCTCGTCTTGGACTTAACAGCTAGTGACATCATTCCACCTGGTAGAAAGCCATATCTTCCTGTTAGAATTTAAAAAAAAAAAAGACTTCAATAGCCACAAAGATAGCAGTGGCACTTACCATCCACCAAAAGTATGTCCCCAACTTCGACATCATTAACAAAATCATCATAGTTTACACTGACGGTGTCTTTCATTGAGACACCTCTCTTGATGGTAAAATTAAACTCTTGACCCTCTTCAAGGAATATGGGCTGAGGTACATCCCCACTTCGAACCTCAGGACCCTTCGCAAAGAATTCAGACAAATAAATAACTTTTTTTTTTTTTTAATGTTTTGAAAAACAAAAAGACAAGAAGATGTTCGTTCACCTTTGTATCCAACATGATAGCAATGGCTTTGTCAACAAAGAGAGAGTTGTATTCCTTAACAAGATCAATGGTTTTCTGATGAGAAGCATGATCACCATGAGACATATTCAAACGAGCCACATTCATTCCTGCTTCAGCGAGTTTCCAAATCATTTCTCGAGAGCTAGAAGAAGGTCCAATGGTACAAACAATCTTAGTTTTCCTCCTGGAATCATTATCACTTGTTCTTGGTTCCGCAAACTTGTATGAAGGATCCATCACTCCCTAAAAAAAAAAACAATCAAAACCAGTCCATCGATCAAATCCTAAAACGATGCTAGTTTCACAACATTGGCTGATAAACAACGTGACAAACAAGAAAAGAATGTACTGACCAAATCGAAAGCGCCATTATCTGCATAGACCTTGAGTTTCCGGCTATCTTCATTGGTGTTAATCGATCTGACCGAGAGAGACAGTTGACGGTGAGCGATCCCCCTGACGCCGATTAGCGTTGTTCTCTGTGGTGATTGTGATAAGCCAACTCCAATGATCCTGGAGGAGGAGGAGAGAGTGCGATCCACCGTCATTCCCGTTGAAATTTGACCTATCGCCGCCATGCTGCGCCACCTGAAGAACAGAGGAGAGAGAGAACGAGGTTTTGTGTTCAACGATTTCCTTTTTTTTGGGGTCAGAAAACGATATTTTTTTAAGAGAGATACTGAAAGAAGGGAGGGGCGGAGAAAGAGAGACAGAGACTAGGAGCGAGGGTTTTGTCTTGTTGTTATTATATGTTATTGTTTGTTTGGTAGACAGTTACACTGAACCCTCTGGCCCAGGGAGAAGCAAATCATTTTTATACGTCGGACTGGATCTTGCCCCTACATTCGCATATACCACAAAGTTGATTATATACCACAGACCATTGTTTATATGAAATGAAAATGAAAAAAAAAAATCCTCATATTCAAACCATTTTTGTTATGTGAATCCTATAATTTATTTGTTTTATGTGGTCGACCTAAAATCAGAAGCCAGCGACCATAAGGTTGGCTATCAGTTTTTCCTTTTGATGTCGGTATTCCAATTTGTGGTTTTGAGTTCTCTAATATTTCGGGTTGTTGGCTACACTAGCGGAAACCATTAAAACACAAGTTTGACCAGTTGATATTAGTTGTGTCCAACAAAAAATATAACTGCCCTGTATTTTAAATATAACTGCTACTCACATATAACCATGCCTAATAATCCGCCCTATAAATTAACCACTCTATTATTGCCTAAACCACATTCAGGTTTTCTAGCTATTGGGCTATGGGCCTTGATTTCAATTTCCATTTTAAAACATTACTTTACAAAAACGGTAAAGACAAAACACTCATTTTTTGTTCGGAAGATAAATTATTAGGCGCCTTTGATTTCAAATTCCATTTCAAAACCAGAGGAGATATTCTAATGTGTAAAATAATTTGAGTCATTTAATATTATGTCTATTATATGTAATAGAAACATTATTATATATGAAATCAAATCTGAAACTTTTTTGAAAGCATATAATATGCATATTTAATTACTACTTGATTAATAAATAAAATTGTAACTATACTTTATTATTTAAAAAAACATTACAATCAAAGTAAAAAATTAATATGTTAAATGAGTATAGCACGAATGTATAGTTATGCAATATCATTAATTCAATACAAATATTACAATTCTTAGTAATAATTAAAATATGATTGCAAGGAAATACACAAATCTGATTACAAATAAAAACACCAATATGATTGCAAAGCAAGCCACAAATATAAAAAAAAAAATTCTAAAAAAAAAAATATGAAAAACAAAAAATAAATTATGTATACAGTTACATTATTGACATATCTTTCTATAATGATATGATAATTATTCCTCATAATATCGGTTAAGAAGTACCAAGTTTAACTATCATATTACATATATTTTATATATTTTTTAAAAACACACAAAAGAAAAAATTTATAGTAATTTAAATTTTTATTTTCACCCTTAATATTAAGAAAGGAGATATATATTACTTTCACTAGCTATTACGGTATAATATTTAATTATAATAAATTTTATATATTTTTTCAAAAATCATTATCACACTACAACAATGTAACTTACATCTTCCTCCAAGAAATTAAAACTTATTCAACTAGACTTTAATTTATTCAAATTTTAAACATTTTACACAAACATTAAGTTTATTAATTAACAAAGCACTTGATGTTAACAATAGGGTTTAAATGGACTTTGAATATAAATAAATATTCATATAAATTTATTTATCTTGACGGGTTTTAAATAGGTTATTCGATTAAAATATTTTTATTAAATGTGATTTTAATTAAAATTAGTAAAGACCATATTAACCCATTTATATATATATATATTAAAAATTTCAAACATTTTCAAAAATTTTGTTCGATTATGGTGCGAGTTTGGCTTGATATTGGTTTTCGGATATAACATTTTAAGAACTGCTCGAATTTAGGTTTAACAAAGTATGATATTTTAATTTCCGGTGTCGATTCCAAATTGGATTGTTTGGATAAAAATACTCTCGATTAGTTATGTTAGGTAATTACTAAAGAAATATAGCATGTTGTAATCTTTATGGATAAAGTTTAAAAATAATTTCTAAAATGC